CACACCTATTGAAAGCCCTTCTAACAGTCCAATTCCATCTTCAACCAAATCCTCAACCCCAACAAAACCCTCGCAAGCAGAAAGCAAACCTATTGAAAGCCCTTCTAAAAATCTAATTCCATCATTAACCTCTTTTATGGGGAGAAAGACAAATTTTTTTACTGAAGATACTCCGGCAACATCCGAGTCACCGAAGATAAATGACATAAATGGCATAAATGATATTAAAAGCACTCAGGATTTAGCCTATTATCTGCAACATAACAACCATACCAACGACCTGAAGCCACAATTAATAAAATTAGCCCTAGAGACTATCAAACTATTCGCTAAGAGAAAAACTAAAATGGAAGAGGTGATCAATGAAATCAATGAAATTGTCGTCTTGGCATCCGTTCCAATTAAAGAAATTTATGAAAAATTGTTAGAATTAAGTATTCAGGAAATTGTAAATTCAAAATTACAACATTCCGAACATTTGATTTATTTGATTTGCTTAACTCAAGTAATTCAAAACATGCCCAACTCTTTACTGATTAATGGGGAGGTTAGCACAGGGAATTTAGTGGCGGTTTTAAAAAACTTACTTTCAGTTATAGAATATCTGCATAAACAAGGCGAGGCTAAACCTAGCGAGGCTAAACCTAGCGAGGATAAACCTAGCGAGGCTAAACCTAGCGAGGATAAACCTAGCGAGGATAAACCTAGCGAGGCTAAACCTATCGAAACAAAACCTAGTGAGGCCAAACTCAGCGAATTATTACAAACAATATGTCCGTTATTAGATGCCATGGTGCGGGTAGGCGTTAAAGATATCAGTCGTGAGAAGCTGCATGGGCCATTATATCAACAACTTAAAGAGTTAAAAGATAACCCGACGTTAGCTTACCATGCTCGCTATGCCTGCCAGGCATTGTTGTATATCCCAAATGACGAAACATTATGGAAAGAAGTCATGCGAACTTTTAAAGTTGCTAATGGAGCCGTTAGTTTATCTAATGCGGTTAGAAGTTTAGACCAAAGTAAATTACTGGATACTTTTAAAGATTTCTGCGAAGCATTTGAAAAAAAAACAGCCGACAATACTCCACCATCCGACAATACTCCACCATCCGATAATACTCCACCATCCGACAAAACTACACCATCCGACAATATTCCACCATCCGACAATACTCCACCATCCGACAATACTCCACCATCCGACAATACTCCATCATCCGACAATATTCCACCATCCAACAATATTCCACCATCCGACAATATTCCACCATCCGACAATATTCCACCATCCGACAATATTCCACCATCCGACAATATTCCACCATCCGACAAT